ATTGCAGCAAATATGGTACCACTCGAGCTGATACCTGACGTGTCTACCAGGTGGAACTCTACTGAGATTATGTTAGAATGAGCATTAATACTAAAACAGGTTTTGATTTATATAATTTTATTAATATTTATTTTAATTTATAATTAAATTTAATAATTTTTAATTATACAGCCTTTGCACAATACAGCATCAGCAGATAAAGATTTAAAAAAATACATACTTTTGGAAGAGGAATGGGAACGTATTTTAGAAATACGTGGAATATTGCAGGTTGTTATTTTGATTGTGTAAATATCTTATTTATGTATATATTAATAATTAAATTTTTTTTATAATATAGCATTATAAAAAATGCACGGATTTAAGTGTTAGTCAACAATACCTGACATTATCTTATACTATACCTATGTATAATTTTTTATTGGATAAACTCGAGGATGAATATGATAAAAGAAAAGAATCTGATAAGGAGGAGGATGAGGAGGAGGATGATGATGATAGTGATGATGATAATGAAAGCGAAAATGATGAGATTTTATGTGCATTAAAACAATCAATTGAAAAAATAAAAAAATATTATACATTTACAAGTGGATTAATATACACGGCTGCAACAGGTAAATTTATCCACTTTACATAATTTATTATACATATATTTATAGTTAATATTTAATTGTTGTTTTTTTAATAATAGTACTAGATTCTCGTATAAAGCTTCAATATTATAAAGACAATATGTGGGAAGAGTCATTTATTCAAGATTCAAGAAAACAAGTTACAAATTTATGGTAAACTACGTATAAACCGAATATTTCAGAAAATGTAGAGCCATCTGATTATGCAGATGATGAACTTTTTGGTCATATCTTCAAAAAGCGAAAAATTGAAGAAAAAGATGAACTTAGCATTTATCTAAATGAAGGAGTAGCTCCCGGTAAAACTGATATTTTAATGTGGTGGAAGGTACACTAATGTTTATTTTATTAATTTTATTATATAATTTATTATATTATTATTTATTTATTATTTTTTTTATAGTTGCATGAAATTTAGTACCCGAATTTATCAAAAATGGCTCGTGATTACCTTTCAATACCAGGTTCATAGTATTTTTTATTTTAATTTATTATTTATAATATTAATTTTATTAATTTATAACATTATTATTTTATTATTTTTGATCTTTTATAGCAACTAGTGCTCCTGTGGAAAGAATATTTTCGGGTGGAACAGACTTAGTTGTTCAAAAACGATGTAGCCTTAAGGAATCAACAATACGAGAAACAATGTGCCTTAAAGGCTGGTGGAAATCTGATGTTGGTGGATCAATAATTATAAATGATTAATGAAATTGTAAATAAAAATAATTGTAAACATTAAATAAATAAAATAATGTAAAAATTATAAAACTAACTTTTAAACTGAATTATTTAACGTTTTGATTTGGATTAAATAGCTTGCGAGCCAGCTTGAGCTTTTTGAGCTGAGCCGTTTTATGGCTTGAGCTTTTTGAGCCAAGCCTATTAACTAGCTCAAGCTTTTTTAAGTTGGCTCGTGAGCTGTCAAGCCAATTTTAACATGGCTTGGCTTGGCTTGGCTTGAAAAGCTTGAGCCAGCTTGCAAGCTGGCTTGGCTCATGTAGAGCACTAAATATACTGGAACCAATTATTCTGGCGCTTTTACATGTAAAATCGAAAAAAAAATGCCGAAACTATCAGTTTCGGCGTTTTTACATGTAAAATCAAAAGGAAAAATGCCGAAACAAATAGTTTCGGCGTTTTATATAAATATAAAAGTAAAAAACGTTTTGCAACATTTTTTTTAATAATTTAAAGTAAAACCGTTGCAAAAACATTTTTATGATAAAGCTCGAGCCAGCTCGAGCCCAGCTTGGCTCAAGCCAAGATTTTCATGGCTCAGCTTGGCTCGAACTGAGCTGAGCCAAGATTTTTTGTGGCTCGGCTTATTTCAGGCTTGGCTTGGCACAGATCTTCAAGCTGAGCCAAGCCAGATTGTAGCTCGGCTCGAGTTGGCTCATGTAAAGCACTACTGCCCATATGGTCTGATTTGTCTACCTTTAATTAAAATATTGATTTTATTATATTTTTATTATACAAAATACTATATAATTTACAGTAAATTGGGGATGAGTATTAAAAAATTTTTACTTAATGTTATTATACTATAATTTGGTAAATATTTCTTTTAAATTAATATAATTCTTAGTACTTACTATATATGTTAAAAATTTGTATCTCAACTTTAAACATAAATATCTTCAGATCCAATGATCCAATCGGCAAGCTCTTTTTTCGTTCATATAGACCAGATCAAGGGCTTTCCAAAGAGCCTAAATTTATAAAAAATGGATCAGTGGATCCCAAGATATTTGCATTTAAGCATGTTAAAAAGTTCATACCTCAACTTTAAACGTAAATATCTCCAGATCTAATGATTCAATCGGCGAGTTCTTTTTTCGCCTATAAAGTCCAGAACAAGGGCTGTCCAACGAGCCTAAAATATTAGAAAACGGATCAGTGAATCTTGATATATTTGCATTTAAAGATAGTAATACATACTCTGACATAAAATAATTATTTTTATTGTTTGAAAATATTTATTATGATACCATTTTTTATATGATATTTTTATTATACTTTTATAAATATTTATAGCTACTAAAACTATATAAATTTTTATTTTACTTTATATTTTATTAAAATATACTTATTTTTTAATAATATATGTTAAAAATTCCATATATAGGAGAAATGGGTTTTTTATTAGTGAAATGGGTTTTTTCACAGCTCTTTTACATTTAATAATTTAAGTTTCGCAAATGTAAATTTTTGTTCAACTTATTATTTAGTCAAGTGATCATCAATCAGATGATTTTTTGGTATTACAAAACAATTTTGAGTAACAAAAATTATGAAAATCAATTCAAATAACTCTTTTAATGCAGAGTAAACAAATCAGCCCATATGCTAATATGGGGTCGTCTAAAGCCGTGTTCGATCACGTGACTTATAAAAATTTATTTTTTACAAATAAAACTTTTTCGCCAATACATAAAACTTTCAAGTTACACATAGTATGTGTATTTTAGCCTGCTGTGCAAGTTTACTTAGTGCACAATATGGGGTTTTGAATACCGGTTTTGACTTATTTGAATTTTTTTATTTTCGTCATCCATTTTTGGATATGATCAGCAAAGATTATTCATTCATATGTAAAGTCAAAAACAGTTTTAAAACCAGCTTTTTTTCACTAAGTAAACTTGTAAAGCAGGCCAAAATACACTTATTCTATAACTTTCGTACTTACATTAATCTTAGTTCATAAAAAAATGGCTTATTTATAAAATGTCAAGTTACATGATCGAACATGGCTTTAGACGACCCTCTAATATGGAAATGACCCCTGTTGATCAACTCGTAATACCCGAAACTTCTCAGAAGAAAGATAAACAAAAAGTGCGTATTACAGATGATAAACAAATCAAAAACCAGCAAAACCTGATGCAAAAACATCAACCAAAAATTTCCAAAAGGATAAGAAATCATCTGAACCTGAGGCTACACAAATACAAAGCTGTCAGAGAGGAGCAAGAGCAAATCTGATACATAATAGTTTACGATATCCCTATATCTGGGACCTGCCAAAAATATTAGTAGAGTTAAAACTTTGGGGCAATACTATCAGTGTTCGGTTAAATGTCAGTACAAGTACCAGACTCTTCAAGTTAAGATAGCACTATCCTCATTTGCCCTTTCCCAGTTTAATAAATATTGGACGACAGACCTAGGAGGTATACCCGTAAGATGGTTTTCCGCAAGTTGGACTTTACGAGAAAGAAAATAACGTAAAAAGTTCTAAGCCATCATTCATGACATTCTGAAGGATATGACGATGGCTGCCTTGTGGTCAGACCATAAATTAAACCCATTTTTAATGCAGTGTAGTGCTAGTACATTTAAAATAATACAAACAAGCAAAGGAAGGAGGAAACTTGTGGCCCATTTTGAGAATTGGGAGACTACACTTAAAGTCTTAAATAAGCTACAGTTTTTCTTATCAGATGGTAAGGAATTGAAATGGTGCCAATATTCCATTCCTAACTTGAAGAAAGTACAACCCAAACTGAAGGCTAAAAATACCCCGAACAAGAAGAAATCTGGTAAAACAAATAAAGCTTCAGATAGTAATAAGCCTAAAAAGAAGGATAAAGTTCCGTTCTCAAAGTCAGACCGACAAAATAATAATCAGTCAAAGAATCTACCTATTTTGAAGAAGACAAAGAATAACTCAAAGAATAAGAATCGTGATAAGAATAACAAGGAAATTTTAGCAGAAATTTTGTCCCTATTACGTAAATTAGTTTAATCTAATTGGTATTATTTTGTTAGTTAGAATTTTTTTTTTCATTTTAGGGTTAGTTACCTACATTCTAGAATGATCTTTCTTGTTCCTATTATATAATGGTCGAGTTGTAGAATAGTTTTTTTTTATATTCTAGTCAGGGTCTGATCTATTGGACGAAGATTATTATTGTGTTTTTTATAACTGTTTTTGTTAGCTACAAATAATCAATGATATCCCCCTGGCTTGCCTTAAAATAAATAAATAAATAAATAAATAAGAATTCATTACATAAAAAAATTAAATTTATTCATTTGAGATACTCTCCAGAATTTTTCTGTGAGATTTATATTTTTTTATAGCATACTCCACCAATTTTTCATCAATACATTTTCTTGAGAATTTTCTAATAGTTGTCAAGTTTACTGAATTAAGACTTTCAGGAACAATTTTTTGTAATCCTTTCCATGAATAATCACAATTTTTGCATGAATATCTTTCAGCAGCACCTCAATACCTTTCAATAAAGTTTAATTCACAGTGAAATTTAGGAAAAAAATGCATTTATGTCCTGCATTTTCAATTAATTCTTCAATAGCACCTTTTTGAGCAATAAAATCTGGTTCCAAAGATATTACTCAACGTGCACAACAGGTAGTTCTTGAAATGTCTTGAATCTTTTCTTTGCATTCTTTGCAGTCTAATATTAATGCTCCAGGTGGTACTTGTTTAATTCCCTTAGGTTTACCATTAAGTTTCTCATCATAATATGTTATTGGAAATATTATTGATTGTAATTGGTTATTTGGTCTAAAGTAAGTATTCCGCATAACTGGTTGTTTACCACTTGGGTTTAGGTTCATTCGGCTTGCAACTAAAGCATCTTTGCTAAAAGCAGCATGATTGGAACTATTATCAAAAGCAAACATAGCTATACAGTCTGGATATAAAGCTTCAAAAATAGGGATTGCTTTATATTCAATTTGTTCAAAAAGATGTTCTGGAGTTTCAGGAGATTATAATTCCTCATTCTCAAAGTTCACTTATGACAAAAATACTAGTTGCTTATTTTCTTATTAATAGAGTTTTAGAAGAAACGATTAGAAGGGATCATTGTGAAAACAAAAGTATACAAGAGTAAGCAGATCCTATCTTGATTCCTAAAACTATTATTACCTTGAATTGGGTAAAAGCTTCTAAATTTTCTTATATCATCAGTTGGGTGCTCTTTAAGTTGATTAAAAGAGATTATTTAATGAATTTACATCTAAAATTTTCAGTTATATGCATTTTACTTAGATCTCTTTGCACTGAAAAAGTTGAGTATGTGTTAGAAACAAAATCACAAACTACTATCATTATACCAAAATCTAAATTTATTCAGTTTTGAATTAAACATTTATTCAAATTTTGAAATCTTTCAAATGGAAAAAATAATTCTGAATTAGAAAATGATGATGCAAATTTATTTATGAAAGATGTGTTTTAATCTATATGAAGAGCTGTCAAAAAACTTGAAGGAATGTAATAACTATATTCCGGAAAAAGGAACAGCAAGTTTATGAGAAAGTCTAAAGGTGATGAATCATAATCATCCTACTACAGCTTTAAATAAAAATAAAAAATCTATGATTATAAAAAAAGTGAACTTGCCGACCAACCCTACTCATACTTTAGAACAACTCCGTATATGGGCGCAACTTGAGAAAACAGAGGAATCATTTGCAAAAATGTTCACAGTATCAGAATTATTATGGTTGGTTTAGGCGTTTAGAGTATCAACAGCTTATAAAAGAAAACAAAAAAATTGGTACCTATTATTATATCTAACTTAAAAAACAAGACACTTTTCATTGAAGAAGTGCTTGAAAAAAATGCTACTTTTATGGAGTAAAACGTCTGTTATTTTATAAATTTGTAATTTTTAAACAGAAGATGTAATAAGTATATAAAAATTATAAACTGCTAACTTAGAAAGCCAATATTACACTAAAAGTCACCACAGGTTGAAAAGTGAAAAATCAGCCATCAATCAGTTACCAATCAGGCAGTTTGCTAACTTTTGATCCAATGATCAGAAAAGGATGAAATATAGCTCATTGGAATCGTCTCAATAAGACGAATCTAATGGTAGTAAAATAGTAAAATAATAAAATAGTAAAATCGCATTTTTAAGATTACAGCTGATTGTAAAATTGTAAGACTACCCTATGATTTTCAATTTGAAAATTTGATATTTTGAATTTAAGTTTAAATACCTATTTTGGTAATAACTTTAACTTCTTAAAATTAATAAAGATTTTAAAGTAATTTATTTATATTAAATCATATGATATATTTCTATTTTCATTTAAGGAGTTGAATAAACATCAAATTAAAAGTGGTCTTATAATTTTGCAATCAGCTATAATAGTTAATAAAAAATTAAATAAAATATAAATGATACATTTTTATTTTTATATTTTACTTAATTTCTCATCAAGTATTAATCTTAGAAATGTGATTTTACTACCATTAGATTCATCTTGTTGATTCATCTTTTTCTGATCACTGGATTAAAAGTTAGCAAACTGCGTGATTGGTAATGGTATTTGGCGAAAATACCTGATCGGTGACCAATTGGTAATTGATTGATGCCTGATTTTTTACATTTTGACCTGTGCACGAAACTTTTACTGTATATAGATAGTTCTCACTTGCAGTAATACATCAACTCTTTGAAAATGCTAAACATAAAAAATTTTGAACTTTGATATAAATTTTTGATATAATAATAAATGTGATCAGCATAACCTTAAATGGACAGTTACGTTAACCTAAAATCATATTATGTGACATTTCAGTTGGATCCCCCCTTACCCCAGCATAGCGGATATGCTCATATCACCTTGCCGATCATTTGCTGATCACTAATTCCAGATTTTAAAAACTTATTGCAAAATCACAAATATTTTTCAAATAATGTGGCAAAAAAATAATGGAATCTAAGTAAAAACACTAAATTATTATATGATTTTAATTATATAATTATTAGCACAATTTTTAAGATGTGTATAAGAGACAGCCTCAATACCTTTCAATAAAGTTTAATTCACAGTGAAATTTAGGAAAAAAATGCATTTATGTCCTGCATTTTCAATTAATTCTTCAATAGCACCTTTTTGAGCAATAAAATCTGGTTCCAAAGATATTACTCAACGTGCACAACAGGTAGTTCTTGAAATGTCTTGAANAATTAAGGTTGCTTGTCTAAACCTCTTCAAAATCCTACGATTAGTTTTGTCAAAATTTTACTATAGATTTATTATAGTTTTGGAGGAGTTTTGGCAGTTTTGGCATTTATAATAAGTTTCGGCAGGTTTACCTTTCTCCAAAGTTTCGCCAGTTTTTTAATATAACTTTAATATAGTTTCAGCAGAATTTCGCTTTTCGGCGAAACGCCATCTTGCCTAAACCCCTAGGTTTCGGCAAGCAACCTTAATATAAATCCAAAAAAGTTAAATAATAATATCAAACCTTTAATTCAGATAATCAATATTTCAATACCTTTAACTTTTTCAAAAGAAAATCAAAAGTAAAAATGCTAAAATTCTGAAAAAAAAAACTAAAAAAATAAAAAAGAAAATTATAATCCTTAGAAAATCCTAAAGGAAAAATTGAGTAAAGAAGAAAATAAACTCCAAACCTCCATCCCAGATGATCAACATTCCAGTTTTTCAGTTCCCCTAAAAGAAAACTAAGAGTAAAAACACTGAAATTCCAGGAAAAAAAAAAAACCAAAAAACAAAAAGAAAAGTCATAATCTCAGAAAACCTTTAGAGAAAAAACTGAGTAGAGAAGGTAATAAATATTAAACCTTTGTCTATTACTTTAACATCTTAAATATCAATTGATAATAAAGAAAAAGCCCACTTTTTAAAAGAACCACCTCTACTTTAACTTGGACTTCAAGGAGTAACTTTTGTAACATTTCCAAAAATAAAAAAACTAATGGGAAAACTTTACATTAGTGCAAAGTTTAAAGCCCAACTGCTAGTATATAACTGTTAATCCAGTAAGAGTTTTTATTTTTGGTAAAAACCATTTCAAGTTAAGTAACTCCACCAAAACAAGAAGTTAAAGATTCATTCGAATCTTGAAAGAATTACTAAAAAGTTCTTAAACAGCATTAAAAGTATTCTATAACCGCTCAAGTGAAAAAAACTTCCACTGAAAAAATGGCTACAGGTAAAAAATGTAGTTAATCTTTTTAATATAACTTTATATACTTAATTCTATTAGAAGTTTTATAATTTATATAAAATCATCATACAAGTTCTTTTTATTATAAATTATTATTATTATTTTTTTTTTATGTTTTAGGATCATCTTCATGGCTAGGCACGTATGGTAACATGATAAAGGCCTTTAACCACTTAGGTGGTTGTATGAGTACCAAAACTGACGTTGACTGTTAATATTAATGACCCACACTTATTAGGTAATGAGCGAAATGTTATCCCCCCTACTCCTTATATATTACACTAGGCAGAAACAATTCAGGTTATAATCTTCTGAATTATCCAGTAGTAGCAGAATTAATGAAGTGAACATCTAGAAATCCTTCCATAGTACACTCAAAACCCCTTACAGGTTATGATTACCATAACAGCCATCACAGTTGTAAATCTTCCAGTAGTAATAGCAGTGACTACCAGGACAGTAAGCTGTTAAGAGTACTGGATCCCCTTTATTATAAGTGACCTATCTAGACACCCAAAGTTCACTACCAGTATGTCAAATTCACTGAGAAATTAAACTTCACCTTAGAACCTAATATATCTGTAAGCTCACGAATACTGAAGGTAAACTACCACTAAGACATTGCACTTGAGATTTTACCATCTGTGCACACTATCTAGTGCAGTGAAACCTTGCAGTAAATTTCACTACATTCCCGATGGTATAGCAGTAACCACCAGGACAAGAATGCATCTAGATGGTATATAAGCAGTGACCATTTAGATAGGACAATGAGCTTACCAAAGGCCTTTTAGGGAATATTAGAAGGACACCATGACCTTTCTTCTCATGCAAAATTACATGTATTTTTGCTGTTATAATTATATACTTGTCCATACTTTTAAAAGAATCTCAAAAAATGTTAGTTTTCTAATATAAACTTCATGTATATGTGAAGAAAAAAAAATAATTGTAAAAATGAAAAATTGGTATTAAAAAACTTGTAGAGTACATGCTAATATATGAAATTACTTAATTTATATAAAATAGTAGACGTTAAACCAATAAAATATTCAAGATTAGGCGTTGTTAGCCAAAAATTTACTGCGCCTTTGGCTGAATTTTTTGTTTAATTACACCATTATCAAGTTTATGATATAATAATTTATATACCTGAAATATGCAAAATATATTAACAGCCAATACAAAACTCTTTGAATTAAGATTACTTTATTCTTATTTGTTTTTTCCACAAGTTGGATTCTCTGTGAAAGAAAAATGAGAAAAGTTCCAAGCTGTTATTCTATAAGTAGATCACAGACAGATAGACTACATAAAATTTTAATAAATGTTATTTAACTTACCACCTTAGTTTTCTAATTTAAAGAAATCATCTAAGCAACTCTCAACTAAAGATTCTTCTAGCAAAATACCTAGTAATTTCAAAAGATCAATCTCATTATTATTATGTCATCAGCTAAAGAAAATTACCAAAACTACTCTAACTCAATTAACCAGTTGAAGGTTTAATAAAAACAAGATGGTTTTAACTGAAATTTTGATATTACTATAGCTACAATTCAAAGATGAAATGTTTAATTACCATACAGTTCCGAAATTAAGCAACCTTTTTTTATTATAAAGTTGCTTAATTTCGGGTTATATTTTTTTTATAAAAATTCTAAAGAAAACGAACATTTTTTTTGTAATAAACTAATAATGTTATCATTTAAATAATCAAAATAATCAAATGATCTGTATAACGTGATACAATATTGTGATCGATAAATTAATTGTGATCAATTAGTCACGCGTGATCTTGTTTTTCCTAAAACTCTCCACACGATATGCCACTACAAAAAAAGAGAAGACAAAATAGAGTTGTTAGTAAAAGAGTTGCTAATAAAAAAACTGTCAAACGACATCGCAACTCATATTCTATTGAGCAAAAGAAACAAGTTGTCGCTTATGCTAAAGAAAATGGAATAATTAAAGCATCAAAGTATTTTGAACTTGATAAGAGTATGGTTAGTCGCTAGGTTAATTCAAATGAAAAGTGGGCAAATGAAACAAACCAAAACAGCAAACATGTGGATTCTGGTCAAAAAAGCTTTTACCCAGAAGCTGAAAAGGAACTATACGATTGGATTATTGAGCAAAAGAAGCAGGGATTAGGTGTCACATATGCAATTGCATGAGTTAAGATGTTAGACATTTTAAAAAAACCTACTATGATAAGTCTTTATGGAAATTTAATAAATGAATTTAAAACATCAAACCGTTGGATATCTGCATTTATGAAAAGACATAATTTATCTTGGCGGCGGCGTACTAAAGTTTCACAAAAGCTACTATCACAAACGAATGAGCTGATGAAAAACTTTCAAAAATTTGTCACTCGTCTGAGAACTGAAAAATTATTTGAGATGTCCAATATTCTTAATATGGACGAAACCCCTGTTTGGTTTGACATGACAGGTAATTTTACTATTGATAACAGAGGCGAAAAAACAATTCATATTCGCGGAACTGGCAATGAAAAAAACTGATTCACGGTTGTTTTGACAGTTTTCGCGGGTAAGATCATTTTACAATCATTTACTTTTAACATTTCTTACTCTATTTTTTTATACTATAGATGGTACAAAATTTCCACCAATTTGTATCTTTAAGGGGAAACGGCTACCACATGGTGAACAGATTCCTTCTGGTGTCATTGTTTGGTTTCAACAAAATGGATGGATGGATTCTGAACCAATGAACGATTATGTTGATTATGTTAATAATAATCTGGGAAAAATAGGTATCAGTAATGCTCCTACAATGATGGTATACGATTCCTTTAGAGGACATCTTGAAGAATCAGTCAAAATCAAATTTTGTGATAGGGTATTGATCTAGCAGTTATTCCAGGTGGTTTAACTAGCATATGTCAACCACTTGATGTATCCATTAATAAACCATTTAAAGACAATCTTCGTAAGGAATGGCATATCTGGATGGCAGGATGTGGCTCCTGAATGACTGTATCAGGTAACTTTCGCCTTGCTAGATTATCTGATGTTTGTGGATGGGTCAAACGTGCTTGGGACAGAATCTCAGATGAAATAGTTATTGAGTCTTTCAAGACTTGTAGGATTTCAACGTCCTTTGATGGAACTGATGATGAAATTACTGACAATGAAAGTTCCGATTATGATATCATTGAATAGTGATAGTGAATTAATAATGAATATCCATAATACTACTGTAGTTTATAATAATTTTCATTTATAATACATAATAAAATTATCTTTTATTTTGAATTGTTAAGTTA